TTAATATCACATTATATTAAGCTGTATTTAGAGTAAATGAGATTAGGAATAAGTACATCATTAATTATAGAGCTTTAGGTACCTAACTTGTTTTAACAGGGTTAGAAGTAGGTACACGACCGAGAGACCTATGTGAACCTGGCACCCGACTTTTAAAAATTCAAAATTTTTTTAAAAATTCTTATAGATTTTCTTTTGTAGTTTGTAGTAACAATATTTTCGTTTGTAGTAGCTCAAGAAAAAAGTTATATGACCTATAAAAAACCCATCCCCCCAATTTAGCCACACTTAAATCTGATGGTTGATTCCTATAGAAAATCGTTTGTAGTTGATTGTAGTGAACGAATTTTCGTTTGTAGTTCTAGCAAGGAAAAACCGTTAGAGCTATTTTAAAAATTTGCCATGAGTAAATGTAGAAAGCGCTTCTAATTTCAAGTTTATTTGTGTTGAAGTTTGTAGTTGCACATATTTCGTTTGTAGTTCAGCGAAAACTAACTAAAAGTCACTACATTCCAAACTATCGCTCCAAAATCGTTTGTAGTTGTTTGTAGTAGCGTTTATTTCGTTTGTAGTTGCATGAAATCTGACGAAGTGAAATCCAATTGGTAAAACCAAAGCCCCTCCATATCTTTTTAACCGTTGAAAATATCGAAAAACTAACTCTTTATCCACGAAATTTGAATAATTCCAAATATTTCGAATTTTGACCACCAAAAACGGCGGTGACAACATTTTTATCATTAAGGCGATGTTTCGCATTGTATTAGCTATAATCCTATCCAAATTTGGTCAGTATAACTCTTTCGGTTTCGAGAATTGAATACCTATATATGTTTTCAGCCACGAAAACTGAATAATTCCAAATATTTCGAAATTTGACCACCAAGACCGGCGGTGACAACACTTTTATCATTAAGGCGATGTTTCGCATTGTATTAGCTATGATTCTGTCCAAATTTGGTTAGTGCAACTCTCTCGGTTTCGAGAATTATTGAATATGTTTTCAACCACGAAATGGAGATTGGAAATCCAATTAGAAATCCAATTGGGAATCCAATTGGAAATCCTATTGCTAAAAACAAAGCCCCTCCATATCTTTTTAACCGTTGAAAATATCGAAAAACTAACTCTGGCGTCCCTCTAGCATATCGTTCGAGGATTCCAGCAAACCAAACCGCACCCTTCTAGGTC